GGTTGTTGTTGGACCTCTAAATAGGTAATTTTAGTGTATGTAAAGTATGCCTCACTAAAGTTAACTTTATAAAAAGTCCAAAAAGTCAGTTCTTTTAAAAGATTAGTAAAATTGATGAACCTCTGAAAATGCAAACAATAGAAAGACAGGACACAAATAAGAAATTCCAGGAATGAAAAGGAGGATGGAACTACAGATAAAACAGGATTTTAAGGAAAATAAAAATATTTCAAACAATGGAAAAATATAATTTTTTAGGAAAAAGTAACTTCAAAATTTTCAGAAAATCTGAACAGCCCCTAAAGTTAATCAAAACACACATACATCCACAAAAATGCCAATTTACCAGGGAAATACAACTAAATTCTCAGAAAATATGCTCTTCCAGAGGTGGGAAAAAAATCACTAAGTTGGTAAATTCAAGAAATACAAATATTCTTTAATAGTAGAAAAATCTATCAATGCATTTTATCACATTAATAGCTTTTTTTTAAAGCATAGGATCATCTCAAAAGATGTACCTCTCCTACTGTTCAAGAAAATATAACAAAAAAAAAAATAAAAAGACATCCAATTCTATTTGTTGTCACTTTTTATTAGGCAACACCATCATAAAACATACATGATGGACAGGGCATGTAAAGGACTGTATCAGTTATACCAAAAAATCATTCTACAGAAACAGAGTTTACAAATAACTTTGTATCCATTATCTGCCTAATTCTAGCTACTCTCATGGTATTACTTTTAAATATATATATAAATGAGGAAACAAAAGGAATTGCCTTTTGGGTGTGGGCCAGAGGTGGGATGCGTATGTGAGAATTCACTAGAGACAGAGTGGGCAGAGCTACTGAATACACTGCTGAGGGGAGCAGCAGGTAGACAGGAGAGGTCTGCTGCACCGTATGTGAGTTAGCTCCCTGGCCGGGATCAAACTCAGGCCTCTGAGGCTATAGCACTGAGGCTTAATCCCTATGTCACCAGGGAGGACCTGTTTTCATTATTTTTTGTTTTTTTCTGAAATCACATTTATATATAAAAATTAAATGAACAAATATTCACATAGATAATACATAATGGAAGAAATTGTGAATCTAGTTCTCCCTCCAGTGGTTCTCACATGCTTTTGGAACAAAGATACAAATACAAAAATGTTAATGCTGTAGTTTACAGTCTTAGTCATATCTTTTTGCTCTGCTCAAATTTGTAACCTTCTTTCAAAGTTAGGTGGAGCTTGTAGCCTGGTAGTTTCTCCAAGCAACTCAGCACTGATCTTTAGGGAACAAGTGAGTATTCTTCTTGGAACTTAGTCCTAATTGGTTATAAATGACTTACGTATAACCATATACCTTTCTTTATGTGCTATCATAACCTGATGTGTCATTTCAGTGTCAAATTGAAAGATGTCTTGGAAAAGATGGAGAATACCTTTCCTAGTTCCCATAAGTACAGCTAAAAATCTGGGACATTATAGGTAAAACAGTATGAGAAGATTCTAAAAAATAGAGAGAATTCAGACTGCCTGGTGACATCAGAACCTGAAAAATGACATAGCACTGAGTTTCCTGAGCCTTCCTTTTCCTGAGCCTTCAGAACCCACACTGGGTTCTGAAAAAGTTAGTGACCCATAAACACCATGAGCACAGCCAAAAAGAAAAAAAAAAGGTTTAACAAAAGTCTGTTATTTCTAGTCAAAAGACTTGGAAAGGAGCAGCCAAGCAAGATGGAATCCTTTAGAAAATAACCAGGCAAAGGCCATGGAAACAAGGCAGCTGGATACATCTGTACAAACAATAATGAGAGAGGACTCTATATACCCACCCTCCTTGGGTAGTAAGAAGGCTCAATGGTCTACCCACTTCTACCCCCCCACCCCAAGGTGGTACCAGAGGAGATCAAGTAGAGGACAGGACTTTCAAAACCAACCCTCTCCCTACCCCACCCCAGCAGCATCACTGGAGACCACATGGAGAGGTGAGACTTCCAGCCCTACTGGAGACAAGATGTTTCTCCCTTCCTTACTGGTATGGTGCCAGTGGAGGTCATGAGGGGAGCAGCAAGACTCTCCTTTTTTTCCCAGCCAAAGTGGCATCAGCAAAGGTCTAGTGGGGATCTGTATCATCACCCCACTCAGCAGTGTGAAGCCCTGTGCCAGGTGTCATTCATTAGAAGCCAGTGATGAACCTGGATTCCAATATCAGCTTACAAGTAATAATGCCCCCCCACCCCAACACTTTCTCCACCAAAGGAGGGGCAGTGGAGACCTGCCCAAATAGATTTCAGCAGGATACAGTGTCTCATAATTTCTAAAATGTCTACTATTCAAACGAAAATATCTCAGCACACCAAGAACCAAATTTCTCTGGTTCATCTCAACTTGAATGAAGACAACCCACAGACACCAGGATAATACAGATGTTAGCATAACCTGGTAAGGATTTTTAAACAGCCTCATGCAAATGCCTCAAAGAGCAATTATTAACATGGCTTGACATAAATTAAAAAAAAAAACAAACAGAAAGTCTCAGCAAAGAAATAAAATACATAATCAAATGGAACTGAGAAATACTAAATAAACTGAAATAAAGCCCGATGATGGGGCTCAACAGCAGAATGGAGGGACTGTCAGTAGACTTGCTTATACAACAGTTAACACCCAGTCTGGACAGTAGGGTGAATACTCCTATGAGCTGAGTTGTGTCTCCCTCACCCCAAGTCCGTATGTGGAGCTCTAACTCCCCATGTGATTGCATTTAGAATTTTTAGAAGGTAATTAAGGTTAAATAAAGAGGTAAATGTGAGGTCCTAATCTGCTAGGACTGGCAGTCTTGCGAGGAGGAGGGAGAAAAGGAGGGAGGGAAAAACTGAAGAAAGATTGCAGGCCATAGCAAGGTTGCTGTCTGAAAGCCAGGAAGACAGCTCTCACCAGAAACCAAATCAGATGGCACCCTGATCTTGAACTACCCAGACGCTAGCATTACGAGAACTAAATTTCTATTGTTTGAGGCACCCAGTCTGTGATTTTGTTTAAGTGCTGCCACAACAAAGACCTAACAACATGGAAGCAGCTCTGGAATTGGGTAATGCGGAGAAGTGGAAGGCCTATGAGGTGCTTGCTAGACATGTGGCCGTTAAAGGTCATTCTGGTGAGATGAGGAACACGTAACTGGCAACAGGATGCAAGGCAATCCTTACTGCATGGCAGGGAACTTGGCTGGACTGTGTCCTAGTGTTCTGCGGCGGGTAGAATTTATGACAAATGGCTATTCAGCAAAAGTTTGTCAGCAAAGTATTTCAGGACCAGTTTGGGCCCTACTGACTTATAGTAAAATATGAGATGAACTGAGGAAGGAATTGCAAAGCAAGAAAGATCTAGAAATTAGAGATTTGGAAAATTTTTGTCTCTATTACAAAATATGAGAAGGCTTGATCTGAAATTAACACTAAGGATGTGGCTCCACACCTCTTTAATAAAAAGATCATGGGCGTGACTCGTGGACTTACTCAATCATCTAAGCACAAGCCAGCAACAGAAATGGGACTATACCAGCAGAAACACTGCCTCCTGGGATTAAAGGGGACAGAAAAATTCCAAAATGAAGAGAGGCTGTCGACTTCTTAGAACTTCTAGAGCCAGACAATAGAGCTATTCAGCTGTAAACCCGTGCTACACGTCAAGAAAAGGGAAGGATGACTCCTAAGTACAGTCAGAGATCATCAGGCTGCCTTCCCAGTTTCAAATGGTTGGGCAATTGCCACATTTCAACTAGCCAGGTGGCTTCTAACTGTAGCACTGGGGCTGCCAAGTGGAGTCTTGGTGGCAGTGAAGCAAGAGGTTGCCAAGTCTGCTGCTGGAGTTCTGCTGCTTGCTGGAGCACAAAGTAGCTGGGTGTGCTGCTTGCCCACAGCAGTAGCTGCAGCTACTCCAACTCTTCCCAGGCGATTAAGAAGGTCTGTGATGGCTGGGGTGACAAGCATCCACATACAAACTGTATAAAACCTACCACTCCTGTTATTCGGAGCTCAGACTTTGGCGAGTAATCCCAGTGGGTCTACAGATGTGCAAATAAACCTCTTTACCTCTAAGAGTGCCTTTGCTTCCTCTTAAAAATTGCTGTAACAGCAAAACTGCCCCTCCACTGAATCAGGGAGACAGAGCCACTGTCTTGTGGGTCTAAAAGGCAGGGCAATAAGTCAAGGATTACCATGAAGCCTTATGATACAATGGAATTGTCCTGATAGACTTTGAATTTGCTTGTGACCTGTTAACCTCTCCTTTCCTATTTCACCCTTCTGGAATGAGGATGTCTATCCTATGCCTTTCCCAATCATATTTGAAAGCACATAACTTACCTGGTCTCAGGTGGACAGGATGTCTACCTTAGAATGAACTGTACTCTGACTCTCATCCATACTTGATGTAGGTGATTTTTAGATGAAACCATGGGCTTCAGAGTTGATGCTTCAATGAATAAAGACTGTAGGCAAGGAATGGATGTACTTTTACATATAAGAACATGAATTTGTATGGGGGAGGACAGAATATGGGCTGAATTTGTCTCCCCCAAATTTTCATGTGGAGTACTAACTCCCAATGTGACTATTGATAGACAAGGCTTTTAGGAGGTAACTAAGTGAGGTATTAAGTCCTAATTCCCTAGGACTGGGGCCTTATAAGAGGAGAGAAAGAAGACACACATACCAAAGAAAGGCTACATAAAGACACATTAAAAAGGTAGCCTTCTGTAAACCAAGAGGAAAGCTCTTGCCAGAGAAAAAGATAAAACAACTTGATCTCTGCCTCATAAATTTCTGTTGCTTGAGTCACCTGATATATGGTATTTGGTTACAGCAGCCTGGGCTAAGACAAAGATATACTGAAAATAATTGAACCGGTGGTAGTATAGCCCAAGATATAACATTTGCACTATCACAATCACCACAGAAGTGTGCGTGTATTCAGAAGATGTCTGAAAATTCCCAAAATTCGGCACAAGATATAAACCTACAGCCTCAAGAAGCTCAGCAAATAGGAGAAACTCAAGAAATCCATATCAAGATGCATCATAGTCAAATTCATGAAAACTAAAAACACAGCATTCAAAATGTTTCTAATAACCTTCAAATCAAACTTTCAATGAAAAAAAATACATATACAAAGATGTCATCTTTCCTAGGGTAAAATGGTTAAAGGCAAAAATTTCAAAGTCTTTTCAAGTTTTGTACAATCTAATATGCAGTTCAAGTCCACAACTAAATTTTACTATGATATGAAAAAATCTAAAGTAAAAACTACATACAATTGAGGTAAACTTTTATAAATAAGCACATTCTAAGCAAGACAGCTTACACTAATTGAAATCCTCAAAGGTCCCATCTGTCCTCTCCCTTTCCAGAATGTAGGCCTTGACATTTGGGAGTTAATGTGACTCTCAATAAGCAGGGTCAAAATGACACGAACTGTAGAAGCAGAGACCCAACCCTGGCAGGCTTCAAGGGAAAGCTGCCCTCATGGAAATTTGCAACTACAAGTCTGACTAATATGTTTCCAGGCTGTGAGTACCCATTTGAGTTAATTAACTCAATCAACACCTCAAGTTCATTCCCCAATTCTTTTTCCCTGTTCTTCCCTCTGCCTCCATTGTACCCTTGTATTTATTTACGACTAAGTACAACTTCCCTTCTATTTTGACTCCCCATCCTGGACAAACTCATTGTGAATTCTATCCCTTTTCTTTTTCTACCCCTGCAATTTCCTTGTCTCTTGGAACTTTATCCCTTAGGTTATAAGACTACCTAGTCAAGATGTCCTTTTTTCACCATGGCGTACCCCATTTCTCACAAGGATCTGATAGCTTACTACACAGTAAGGTGTCGGAAATAACTTTCCTCTTTCCCTAAGAAAATTCACAATGTCCTCCTCCACTGGAGCATTTTGAAAAATGTAAAACTCTTTTTTCACATTCTGACTAAGCTATGCTCCATGTCAACAATGATTTCTCAATTAATACATGTTTTGTAACAGTTTTAACTTTCGTTGAAACCCCCATGCTGCATATAGCAAATGTTCAATAACTCTGTCTGAATGTGCCACATTTTACAGTTTATCCAGTATGAATTCTCTTTTGCTGGCCAAAGGCTGAATGACCACTAAAAGCTTTTCCGTAATCCTTGGTTTCCCCTCCAGCATGAGTTTTCTGATGTTGAGAAAGAGATGAACTTTGGCTAAAGGCTTTTCCACATTCCTTACACTTATAGGGTTTTTCTCCAGTATGAGTTTTCTGATGTTTTGTAAGAGATGAGCTCTGGCTGAAAGCTTTTCCACAATCCTTACACTTGTAAGGTTTCTCTCCAGTGTGTGTTCTCTGATGCCGAATAAGGGCTGAGCGGTCACTGAAGGCTTTGGCACAATCATTGCATTTATAGGGTTTCTCCCCAGTGTGAGTTCTCTGATGTTGAGTGAGGGCTGAACAGTAGCCAAAGGCTTTCCCACATTCATTGCACTCATAAGGCCTCTCCCCAGTATGAGTTCTCTGGTGCTGAATAAGACCTGAACGGTCACTAAAGGCTTTCCCACATTCGTTACACTTATAGGGTTTTTCTCCAGTATGAATGACCTGATGCTGGGTAAGAAATGTGCTTTGGCTGAAGGCCTTCCCACATTCATTACACTCATAAGGTTTCTCTCCAGTATGAATCCGCTGATGTTGAGTAAGGTATGAACTCTGGTTAAAGGCCTTTCCACATTCACTACATTCATAGGGTTTCTCTCCAGTATGAATTATGTGATGCCGAATCAGGGCTGAGCGGTGACTGAAGGCCTTCCCACATTCGTGACATTCATAGGGTTTCTCTCCGGTATGGATTCTTTGATGCAGAGTAAGGTGTATGCTCTGGCTAAAGGCTTTACCACATTCATTACATTCATATGGTTTTTCCCCTGTGTGAATTCTCTGATGCAAGACAAAAGCTGAGTAGTAACTAAAGGCTTTCTCACACTCATTGCATTTCCAAGGTTTCTTTCCTGTACAAATTCTCTCGTGCCTCATCAGGTCTGAATTTTGTTTTACGTTCTTTTTAAATGGATCATAATTTTGTAGTCTCTCTCCCTGCTGCTGAACAAGTAGTGACCTCCGACTGAAATTTCTTCCAAATTCATTACACTGGTAACTTCTCTCCCCAGAGGATTTCTTCTGAATGGCCACCTCTTGTATTAAGTGTTTCTCGTGGTTTTCCTGCTGACTCTTTAAAGAATCCTCACATTCACTGGAAGCTTCCTTTGGAAATCTTTCTATTAACACCCCAGGGGCTGTTTCTTCAGCAATGTCCTGTTCTGGAGTTAGCCCCTTGCTTTCTGGATGTTAGAAAAAACAAAATACATATATATCATTTCCTACACTGAGAGAAAAATTATTTCTGTGATAGGAAAATAATGAAACAAAAAATGCTTACAATTAACATGTGAACATGAAAGAGCTCAAAAATAGCTTTATAATATCAAGGAAACATAAGTAAAGAAATGACTGGGCCAAGAAGTGGAGTTCCAGAGAGGGAGAGGGTGAGCAGGTTCAACATCCCTTCACATCAGGACAGCAAATGAGAATGAAAAGCAAGCACAAGACTACATAGCAGTGATGTGGGGAGACGGTAGATGGAAAGAGGGTCTGGTGGAGAAAGGCAGAGATCAGACAAGGATGGTCTCCCAGGATTGACTCTGATCGCCCCCTATTACTTCAGAACCAGGGAATGACTATCACCAGATGGCCTCCCGAAAACCAGTCCTTTCCCACTCCAAAGTCTCAAAGACTGCTAACCTTTCAAAACCACGCCTCTTGCACGAACATCTCTGTTGGTTTGGCTGTTTCAAGGTGAGACACAAACTCTAGAAGCTAACATTCAACATGGTCCAGATTTACAGCGTCCAAACATCACAAAGCTCAGTAATTAAGCAGTAACTGATCATCTCTGATTGCCCAAAATGCAACAGATTGGAAAGAATTAAAACAGAATCAAGTTTTAAAAATGAATACCATGTAGAGAGGGGAAGGTCAAATCCCCATGTGCTCAGGTTGACCTCCAGCCTGTCAGCATACCTGAAAATCCTAGGCTTCTTAACAGGAGTATTAGTAATAAAACTTTACTGCCAGAAATGTTGACAGTTCTAGGGTTAAATGGCTTCTAATATTCATTCCAACCATGACCCTACATGAAATAAGTTGATACAAGACAATGTACTCAATAATATATCATAATCAGGGAAATGCCTGAGACTTTAAAGGTCAAATAGATAGAAGTAGGTTAAAGGCAAACAGACTTCCAGATAAGGGTAATGGAAAAGTTAAACCCCAAATGTAACAGAGAATACATGGCTAGCTAGAGGATAGTAAGAGACTTGCCTGTCTGCTCTTAGGCATTCAATAGCAGGGGCCTCCCTAATGGCACAGGGATTAAGACAGAACTATGATGCTAATCACAGCCACTGCAGCTGGATCCCCAGCCAGGGGGCTGACCCACATGGCCCAGCAGACCTCTCCTGTCTCACCTACTGCTGCTGCTCCCCTCAGCAGTGTATTTCAGTAGATCTGCCTGCTCCGCTCCCCACTCTCTCTGGTGAATGCCCCCACCCCTGCACCTCTGGCCTACACCCCAGCTCTTGTATGCATAAATAAATAAATCTTAAAAAAAAAAAAAAGAGTTCAACAGTGGAGCCAAACAGGCAGGGAGGCTAACAAAGGCCTTATAAGCAAAAATATATATGTGATAGATAAAGCAATTCCCTGTGGGGACTCTAGCAGTATTATGCTGCCTCATTTAGATGAGAATAAGAAATATAATTAGGGCCTCCCTGGTGGTGCAGGGGTTAAAGACAACACTAGCAAGCTACTGCCAGTCACTGCAGCTCCAGCTGGAGATGATTCCCTGGCCTGCCAGACTGCTGACCCACATGGCACAGCAGGCCTCTCCTGTCTCCTCTCTGTTCATCTGCTCCCCTCAACAGTATATTTCGTCAATCTGTGTGTTCTGCTCCTCATTCTGTCTCTGGTGAATACTCTCATTCCCCACCACCACCTCTGGCCTGCACCCCAGTTCTTGTATGCATAAAAAAGAAAGTATAATTAGCTGATGTCTAATGTAGTAATCTAGTTGGACAGAAGTAGTGAGGTCAAATCCATGATTATCTTTTTAAAAAAAAAAAGTTACCACAACTTAATAAATAACATTTACTTAGCATATAGCTAGGGACTGTTATAAGCAATTCTCTTGAATTACTTCATTTGATCCTCACAACTGAGTTAAGTGTTATCATCATTCCCATTTTGCAGCTGGGGAATCTGAGTCACAGAGGGATAATTCACTTGTTCAAGGTCCAAAAATTAGTGAGTAGCTGAGATTGGTTTTTGGGCCCAGGAAGACCAGTCCCAAAGTCTGTACTCTCAACCATGACACAGTGCTGTCTCACTTAGATGGAGGAAGGCAGAGGAAAACTCATCAACTTGTAGTCACTGGTCTGAGATTAAAAAAAATCGCATTATCCTGCACACATGAAAAGGCCTAATTTAGAGCAAGTAATAAGCCAACATTAAAATGCTTATTTTATATCACTTTATTTGGGGAAAAGAATTGGCCTGAAAGGGTGGAAGTATTTCATTTCTAAGAATAAAGTTATGAATTTATCACAGAGACCTGCATGGGAAAAAGCAACTTCACCTTCTCCATGGGTCTAGTAAAATCTGACGAGGTCCACATAAACATTACATAATCATGGTATCTCACTGGCCTGCTAAGTATTCCATGAACATTTCAAAGATGCTGTTCCCACTGACCACCTATGTTTTATATTCACTGTTTCCAGTAACTCACCTGGACTAGATGCTTTTGAGACTTCTCTCTCTAGCTCCTCCCCACACTCCAACTGCGAAATTACATCAGGCTTAGAGATTGGAAGCCCTGTTCATGGGGAAAGAAACAGGAGTCTGATAAAGAGCTCAGGGTTAGCTCCTTAACTGTTAGTTTGTTAGGGGGAGAGAAGAGAGAGGGGAGGGATGGAGAGAGTGAATATGGTAGAATATGATAGAAAGGGGTCCACTTCTAACTCGTTGAGTATTAAAACAAAAAGCAGAAATTGACTGTCTCAGGCCTTTCAGGGATTAGGAACCCGAATCTAAGAACATCAGTGCTCCCAGGAACTAGGAAGCAAAGGGACTGCATTGGGAAAATTTACAGTGGAAGGGAGCCATACTCACCCAGCAAGACCAGATTCCTGTGTTTCTCAGACATATCCCTTTGAGGAGGATTTAGCTGTCCCCACTGGGTGAGGGCTTTGGCCATGTCCCTGATCATAGACGACTCCTGAAAAACCAAACAGCAGTATTCACCAAAGAAGCTCTTTTCAGAAGTCTTTGGGAAGGATTCAGGCTGACACAGGAGAAGGGAGACAAGAAGATTAGACAAAAATGACTGCTAACATCCCTTTCAACACTAACATTCTCTGGCATATTTGTAGCCAGAGACTTGTTCCTTGTCTCTCTGCATTAAAATGTATATTAACTGCAAGTAGGAAAAAAGCACTTCAGTGTAAAAACTGAAGGTACAAAGTTATTAGCTTGTATATCAATAAATTAAATTATAGAACCATAGGAATCCTTACTGTTTAAAGTGGAAAAGTAGAGAAAATGTAGTTATGACTTAAGTATTTTATTTATGGTATGGCTTAAAATACTAGGGGATAAAAATATGAAATATTTTTTCTCTACAGTTTTTCTTTAAGAATACGATCAGTCGGCCCTCCCGGGTGGTGCAGTGGGTTAAAGCACAGCATTGAGAATCTAAAGCCGCTTCTGCATGAGTTCGATTCCCGCCTGCCCTGGAGGTGACCACATGGTGTAGCAGACCTCTCCTGACCCACCCGCTGCTCCCCTCAGCAGTGTACTTCGTTGATCTGCCTGTTCTGTTCCCTACTCTGTCTCTGGTGAAGCCTCTCACCACCCCTGAGCCTCTGGCCTGTAACCCCAGTTCTGTATGTACAAATAAATAAATCTTAAAAAAAAGAAAAAAAAAGAATACGATCAGTCAAGTATATGTTAAAAATTAAGACATTTGCTACCTGTGTCACAGAATACAGATTTATCTGTAAAACAGTATCTCAAGCCCAGATTATAAGGCAAGTTACCAAAATGCTCTTGCCATTTCTCCTATGTCCTTGACTGGGGCGGCCCCTCATCTACTCTCTACCCTCCTTCCACATTCTCTGGGCCACTTGGTGCTCACACACCAAGAAGCGCCACAGCTGCCTGAACAGTGTACCGCTGACACGTGCTGCTTCCTGTTCCTGAATGTTCTTCTTCCTACCCTATCTTTTCAGCTATTTTAATCCCACTCACACTACAGATTACAGCTTACTTGTTGACTCCTCAGGGAAGCCTTTCCTGACTCTCTGGGTTGCAGTGACCTGTTCCTTCCCTTCTCTTGGTTATGCACACAAAAGAGGACTGCGATTAATATGTTTCTCCATTAGCTGGTAAGCTCCATGAGACAAGAGGTCAGGCCTATTTTCGCACACTGAAGCACTTTTAGTACCCAACACAGGGCAGGAAAACTGTAAATATCTGACATATAGTTGGATAAAGAAAGGAACACCTGAATCGGAACTACTAGAAACAAGTTTAAATAGGGCATTCTATAAAAGTATGCATGGAACCAGAGGTGGGGAGGGGAACTCAAATATATCAAACATTAACAATGCAGGGGTGTTTCCCTCATCTGACCTTGATCTACCCAACAGGCACACAGTTTAGAGCACTAAAATGTCAAAAGAGGGAGCAGGGCAGGTAATGGTCCTTTGACTTTAGGTGAATCAAAGTCTTGCTGGTAAGACTAATGTCTAATAATTTTTTTAATTCTTTAATTCTATGTAGCTTCAATTTTTATGAGACACATTAC